ACTGGAAAACGGATGGAAAGCTTGATCAGTGTTTGAGTGTCATTCTTGGAATTGTGAAACGTTTCAATGCCTCTTTTTAGACTTGATTTTTTGTTGTTGTTTTGAGAGAGTCCCTAAAGCAGAATTGTATTGTATTTATTATTAGCTTATACGTATACCGTCTGAGGGTTGAATGTGTATAATCTCAAGATACATTGAAGAAAGTTGCGCTTTGTTTTTTTGTATTGTTTTTGGATATGATAAAGCAGTTACGGTCAAAATGATATGTAAGTTTCGATTTAACCGCTGCTAACAAGTAGCTTGATGTTAAAAAAAAAAAAAAAAAAAAAGACGAAACTATGCAGCGCCCTAAAAGCGAAATAATCATCGGGGAGTGCTCTTCACGTAATAAAACTAGTTGTGTAGGTACCTGCGTCGGTGGTATAGTGGTTAGCATAGCTGCCTTCCAAGCAGTTGACCCGAGTTCGATTCCCGGCCGACGCAACTTTTTTTTTTTTTATTGTTATTATTTTCCACTATGGTTCAAAAATATTTGTAATTTGTTATTCACAACCGCTTTGTTTTTATACACTCAATTTTCTATATATTTGTTGCAGTTCAGAGACACTGCTATTGGACAACATTCATATTGTATTCTAGACATTTTAATTGGTAATAACTGATGTCATCGCACCCAGGGAACCATAAGGGTAGCAGGTGCAGTGCGGATTTTAAAAAGTCATTTAATTTAAATAATTTATTTTCAGCTTAAACCCAAATGTCAATAACGTTTTAAAAATCACCAGAGTCAAAATTAGCAACCATCTTGTATTTTTATGTCGTTGCACCCATCATTTTCCCTTCAAACTGATAATCCATCGTAATTTTAAAAGATGTTAATCTCATCGGTGCTTTCTTATATTGTTGTCCCACAATACGGACGTTAACAACATCAGGACTTGTACACGGTTCTTACTAACACAAAATGAGCATTCATATTATTGGGGGCACCTTGGTGAATTCGTGTAGTTTGACACAATTTATCTTAATTACATTTTATATCAAACTGAAGCTATTTGTATATTTTATTTTTAGGTTGATTTTTCACAACACCAAGGTGATTACTGTCTTTCAGGATTGAATGCATTGCCCTCCTCCCTACACATCATGTAACGCCTAGCTAAGCGATCGACGCCTGTGAGCTAAAGAAGTTAAATGAAAAGACAAGTGCCAGCTGATTTTTTTAGTTGTCTACACGTGAGCCTTTGTACCTTAACCTTTCTACATAAGGTTGTTTGTCTTGTTGTTTTATTTCTGAAACTTTCAAACTACTTTCAAAGTGTCGATACATTTAAGTGCTGTGCAAAGCCAAGACGGCTGTTGGACCCGCCATCTGATTACGCCAAGAAAACCGGCCTGGAGAGAAGGAGATGATCAGTAAATACAGCGCCAAAAAAAAAAGAAGGAGATATCACGTTTAGTTCCGATACCTTCCGATTTTCGAAGGACGCCTGCGTGAAAAGAGTGGAGATGGTGAAAGGCTTTTAGCGCGCTCGGGATCTCGGACGCGTGAATTCCGACAAGGTCCGGCTTGTGGATGCGTTCGAACCAAAATCGGCTCTCGAAACGTCCACCTCACGGATTTTTTTTTTGCCGAGATTGGGCCTTTTCCATACTTTTTGGCTCTAGTATTTCCTATTTATATTGTTTTCTCTACATCTCTTTTGTCCTTTTTTGTTTATTGATTATCACTATCTTCACTTTTTTATTTTTCTTTAAGAGCATTAAAACGGGAGTTGAGATTAGCGCTAGTAGCGTCTTTGTGTATTTATCCTTGCGTGTCATTCGCGCTGTTTATTGTTCACGATGCTTATACAACTAGACCACCTTAATAGTTTCGTATACAAAAACTTAACGCAAACACCTAAAGTGCATCAAAAACCTAAAACATCGCTATATTTATCATCGGTTGTAGGGCCGTTTTTAAAAAAGAAAACCGCTAATAACCTTGATAGAATATTGTCCCGTCTAAACTTTGTTTTAAACTTTGCTCATCTTTAAGGTTTTGAAATCGTCCAAACAAAATTTTAGTACTCCTGTTTATGCAAGTTCTTTACGAGCCCGTTTTACCGTGAGTGTCCTATAAACTACAGAATAACATTGCCAAAAACTAGAAGGGAACGAATTGTTAAAGCATAAAAAAATAAACAGGATATTTTTTAAAGTTTTTTTAAGCTTAACATACTTGTTCAAAAAAGAGCCGTGAAAGCTACACACTCCTGTGGTTCGTGCAAGTGCGTCAAATGGTCAGGGGGACATAATGCAGAGGGCTAATCGTAACAATTAGTCGGCTCATTGTATAATTTGATAATTACATCTTTAAATAGAGAAAATAGACATAATGTTCCAATAAGAAACTTGCTGAGCGCGATCGAAATTCACTAAATCAACTGTTTTTAGAAAGACGTAAGGCTGGAACAGCATTTTCCGGCGTCCTGAAAAAACGCGAAGTTTGGACGCGTTTCTATGTTTCGTCGCTTCTTATCGGAGCGCATTTTGCGCCAGCGGTGCTGCCCCAAGGTGATCGGGGCAAAGCCACCGCAACGCCTCCCTCGTGAGATGGAGGGGAACTATCGCGCACCTGTGTTGCGCGTCTCAGCCACTGGGGAGCAGGACCGCGGGCGCAGAGATGCGCTCCGATAATCAACCGAAGCCTAGAAACGCGTCCAAAGTCAGCGTTTTTACTGAACACCGCAAAACACTGTCCCTGCCTTATACCTTTCTAAGAAGAGCTGATTCAGTAGTTTTCGCTGACGCACGACGAGGTTTTATTTGAAAACATAGGTGTATTTTCACAAATGAAAAATTTTATTAACAAATTTTACCTAATTAGCCGACTGATCGTTACGACGAGCTCCCTATGCTATGTTCTCCCTGGCCTTATAACTTACCCGCACAAACCGTGTGAGTGTAGCTTTCACCGTCTCTCTCTTTCTCTCTCTTTCTATTTATATATATATATGTATATATATATATATATATATATATATATACCTGGTGTTTTTGCGATGACTTTCAAAAATCATAAACATTATAGGCGTTTGAGAAAAAAAGAAACTGACTTCGGGAACAAACTACCAGCCACAGCGGACGTCAGAAGTTTCAAAAAACAGACTAATTAGTCAGCAAATTAATTACAATTTGGTAATTACCTTTTTAATTAGTGGGAAAAGCCACATGGTTCCATTTAGAAAGTTGATGAGCGTTATCGAAAACCACTAAACCAGTCATTTTCAGAAAGACTTCGAGCGCGTGATAAGAGCAGTAGCGCACTGAAATTACCACTCTTGGAGCAGGTACAAGGAAAGCGGTTGCGGTAAGCGCCCGCGCGATTTTTCCGCCTCTTATCTAGCCCCAGCCTTGTACCTGCTCCACGAGTGATAACTTTAGTGCGCTACTACTCTTATCACGCGCTCAAAGTCTTTCTGAAAATGACTGATTTAGTGGTTTTCGAAAACGCTCAGTAACTTTCCAATTGGAACTATATGTCTATTTCCACTAATTAATAAGCTAATTACCAAATTTTAATTATTATCTGGCTAAGTATTCTGTTTTCGGCGCTTCCTGACGTCCGCCGTGACTGGTAGTTTGTTCTCGAAAACAGTTTCTTTTTTTCTCAAACACCCTGATGTTTAGGATTTTTGAAAGTCTTCGCAAAAACACCCGCTATATATACTATCGCATTAGAAGCGAGTATAGAAGCTTTTCCATCTTATTCCGAACGTACTGAACATATAAATGACAAAATAGGGAGAGGAGTCTACTTGTTCCTGTGTTCGGGGCTGTTTTATACAAAAATGCATGTGAATGAAAGTAAGAGCTGAATATTGTACATCATCACGTTTAGAAAGTTGTCAAATGTTGCATAATTAATAGCATATTTAAGTTCAGAAAACAACTCAGAGCATACATAAAGTTTTGGCATGCACATGCGCAATTACTCTTTCTCAGAACGATATGAAAACAGACTAGGTTGAGGTGTAATGCAGGATAGCTGCAGCATCGTCACTACGACTGTCATTGTACTGCGAGTGCAGAGCCCAGTAGACAAGACAGGTGTTTGAGCACCCAAAGTTTATTGAACACTTGTACACTAAAATATATACGCATCAACAAGGAACGCTTGGACCGAGAGGGAAAGAGGTGCTACTGCCACTAGAGACACTAAATGGTGAGGAAGGTCGAAAGAAGAAAAGGAGAACTGAGAGAAAGAGAGAGTTCTGAGATGGTCACGGATGTAACACAGCAGAGAAAGTATACAAAAACTAACTAGTGTTCAAAAAAGACTTAAAAAGTTTTAAACAACTAGTACCAGTTATTTTCTCAGTAAAGGTCTTTATTTTGGAATGGTTTAAACTTGAAACCTTGCTGAGCATAATGCTCACAGCAATCTTCAACATTAAATATTCCATTTGATTCGGAGATCAATTATCAAAGGAATGTCAGAATAAGGATACAAACTTTCCAGGTTCGAATGAGAATTTTATGTTATACAATAAACGCAATCGTGGGTAAGGACTAAGGCTATCTAGGAGAAATTTATGTAGTTACTATGGCAAGAAAGTCTGATGACTCCGAGTATATTTTTATAAGCCTCTCATTCCAAGCTTGTCCCCCATAACATGGCCGTATTTGTTCGATCATATGATAGCCTTGTGAGGATCGTTCCTTTTGATCTAGATGTGACAAGTGTTCGCTCTCACGATGCATATTCTAACAAGATACTCGACTACATTAATAATTTTATTCGTATGCCCCGCCCCCCCCCCAAGTTTGAATTTTTATATGGAGATTTGAGGCTTCAACATAACATTCTAAACAGAAGTGCTTGCTGAACCCAGCTCATGTCAATTTTTTTTGTAGAACTATTGCACCACTCTAGGAACATGTTGATGCCCAATTTAAAGTCAGTCTGAGTTTCCGAAACCGCTAGGTGAGCCAAACTATGACAAAGAAAAACTTCAACGGAGACATTTTTGTACGAGAGGGACCAGCATGGTTATCAGAATAACGCATGCTGTGCTAGGAGAAGTGTCTTCTGCAGGAGAGTTGAATCCAGGGTCCTCAGCAGGCTTCAAACCTTATTTGAGAGAAATAATTGAAGCAAAATGTTTCGTTAGACAAGAAACACGGACATCAACTACTGGATCAACTGCGCTCAATATTTTGTAGTTTAAATAAAGGTTCTGCAGTAATACTCCGTTTCAACAAAGCTCGGCTGACAGTAGATACTAACAGCGCTACAAGAAATAGTGAGGCTCTACGTTGCAAATATAGGGGTCGTGATTTAATTTATTGTTAGGTGCTATAAAAGAGATTGCTGTAAAGTACTGAGCAAGTCCCAATTTCAAAGTTACGGATAATCTTCAAAAACTGTAGGGGCGGGGGGGTATTTTAAGGTTCGAGAGCAAAAATGCAGAAGCAGCACAAAATAGACTAGACTGCACCGGTTAGCATCTTTGCGTGCGTGCGAAGTCTTCTTTGTGTATGCCGATGAGCTTGTAAATGTGGTTTACGAGGGGAAAAATGACGGTTATCTCAATATACCTTTCCAGCACTTATCACCCGGGAGAAATATGCTGAGTCACCAAGCTCTGAACGCACGCGCAGAGTCTGATATACCGACAACAGAGCCACGGCGCATGCTCAGAGAGCGTTCCACAACCCAGCAAACAAAGATGGCAGCGCGCAGAAAGCGCTTTTTGGGAAGGTCTACACACTCCTCTTCACATTAAGTCCGACCGCAGCGAACACTACGGTCCACCGGAGCCAATCAAGCAGCGCAAAGAGTGTGAGATGAACTCAAGTTTGTCTGCTTCTTGCACAGGGGTTGCGGTGATGTCAGAACGTTGAGCTCCAATTGGCAGATTGAAAAGAAATAGAGGGTAGACCTCAAGACATCTAGCATTCAGGTTTATACCTACTATCCTTCCAATCAAAGCCAATCAGAGCTCGGTGTCGTTCAGACGTCATCTCAACTCCCGCGCAAAAAGCAGACGACTTGCTCTCCGCATTGTCATGACACTCGCTGTCTTTGTGGGTGTTTCCCATATTCAGCTAAACCAATGACGTGCCAGAAAAAAGCGCGTGATCGGAGCGCATTTACCGTCTATGATTGGTTTAGACGGTGAAGCGAACGCATGAGGACGACGGGGGCCATGACGATGCACTTTTCGCGCTGCCTGGTTCACCCCATCCGACTGTTGCGTTGGCTGCGCTCGGACTTAATGGGAAGCGGAGTATACATGAACACAGTGTCTATGCAAGCAGACCCGCTTTGCCTACACCGGGTATGGGCCGCGTAGTGCTTAGAAACCAAATTCGTTAGGAGTGAAGCGTTTGCGCATGCGCAGTACCGACAGCAGCGCCACCGCAGTGACCTGACGTCAGGGAATTGAGTTGGTCTATAGTCAGTGTGCTAAGCTAACACTTGCTAACGTTTCCAAAAAGAAGGGGGGAGGCGCGATTGCGATGTGAGCGAAATTCTCGGTATCTTAGGGTCGGCCGACCCAATAAATCTTTTTTTATTATTATAGTTTATCAGAACTAATGCTTTCCTGTCGCCTCAGGGAGCAGCCAGGCTGTCTTAATGCATGTTCTTTCGGTTCTTTCTTTGTTACGTTGCTTTTGCACAAGCTTTGTCAACTTGGGCTCTACGGGTTTCTCTCAGTGACGAACAAAATACTCCATAAAAGTATTTAAGTTAAGTTACTAAATACCTTGTTCATAAAGTATTTCCAACACTACTCATGTTACTTTCATTGTGAAGTATCTTGAGTAGGGTACAAATACTTAGAAATGTAATTCAATTACTTTTGAAGATATCTCCGTATTGCGTATTTTTATAGACATCAGTGAAAAAACATTATGATACGTTGCGCAAATCTGGTTTACCAGAATGGCTTATTAGCACGTAAAAACAAAAAAAAAGGCAAAAAAAATTGTAGGGCTATTTTATACAGTCCAACTATAAGGAGCAGGATATTACTGATACATGTTACAAAACATTTCTGGAGGAAAAAAAAGGTCGCTTTAGTTATAATGACAGCGCTGAAAATCACGGCATGCTGCGCGCCTTAGACACATCGTTTCACTACAATCCATAATCCCTATATGTGGACTTTACAACACGCGAACGTGGTATACAGGCATAATTAAAAACGAAATAGCCCAAAGACGAGGACAAACTAAAACGTAACCAAGAGGACACAGTGCTGACTCTCAACTGAAGATTTATTCATGTTAACATCCAGTATAAATAGCAAACATACTACACCCCATAAATTAATAAAAAACACAAAAAATGCATATCACGGGTTTCATACATCACCGTCTCTGATTTGCCCTCCTCGCTCCTTGGAGTGAGGAGGGAAAACTAGGGACGTTTTTGTATTGAACACGTGTAATGAATTTTTTTGTTTTTCCATGATTTATTTGCTATGGCCTGTACGTTATTTATACTGGATGATAACATAAATAAATCTTCCGTAGAGAGCCAGCGCTGTGTCCTGTTGGTTACCTTTTACTTTGTCCTCGTCCTTAGGCTGTTTGGTATTTAATTATATCTGCATGCAAAATAGCACAAACTTCTACATTAATCAACTATATTGCGATACAAAAATGACTGAATGGATAACAAAGAGAGCCCACATAATAGCAACGGCACTGGTGGCACCTTCTTCAAGTACGTCGCGTTCAGAAAGGCGCTCCGTGTTGCGGAAAACTTTGTTAGCATTGTGAGAGGTCATGCTGCTCGTAGTTCGTTTCCTGTCTTGTTCTCTGCTTATCAATGTTCACTTAGAGACAATATTCACAAAAGCAATAAACGCCAAACCCCCCCCCCCCCCCCCCCCAAAAAAAAACAAATCTACGTTTTGCTGTAGTGGCGTTAAATATACAACCAGGAAAAAAAGTATGTTTTCCCCTCCACTTTTCATATTCTTCTATTTGCTATTTTCTTGACACTGAAGTTCGCATAGTTGTCGTGAGTCGCTTCCCGTTCTGAGTTCCGCCTCAGTGTGACAATTTTTACCTCCGTAAAACCATTCCTTTTGTTTGAGCATCTTTTGGGGAAAACTCTAAGAAACAAAAGGCGCATTTGAAAAGGCGAGGGGAAACCTTCATTGAACGAACTTTGGGGTGAAATATTAGTCAAAATCGGCACAAAATGTTTTCACGAGATCAATCTAAGTCACCGTAGCCTATTGGAGCTAGTAGCAGGATTTAATTGCTGGAAAGAATGTTCACGTTTGCTCGTGGCATGCGCACGCCATTTCATACAGAAAAACTAGGAAAATGAAGGAATGTTAAAAATGTATTTGAAATAATTGAGTACAAAATACACTGAAATGTAGCTAAAACACAGTATGAAAAACTCTCCACCAAATGTGCTTTCAAGATACCTAGATACTTCAAAAAGTATTTGAAATACAGTATCTTGGGTAGTGCATTTGAGACAGGCACAATTCTGGTTTTCTCTGAAAAAGACGAATACACCTTGCTTTTCACGTAGGTTTCAGTTCCGTTCAACCGCATACTCCGACACCAAAATCGACTTTGAGCAATTTAAGCTCGGGAATTTAGACCAATGGTTCGTAAGAACGTCTTGGCATAATTTATTAATGCACATTCGCGAGACCTATTGATGATATCGCAGGTATGTAAATACTCTTTAAAACAATACAAATTTGTACGTGGACGTTGCTTTTCTTTACTATGGTTAATTCAGATTTAGAACTATCGATATGGCATATCCTGCGGTGTTAGCGTGCACATTTTAAAAAGAACAGCCTAAGTCTCGTTGGATTCGACGGCATTCCCCAGTAGCAGTAGTTTGGTCATGCCATACATCTATGAGAGAGATTCGCAAGATATTGTTACATATGGATTGCATGACATTGCTGCGCCAGTTCTGGCGCGTTACACATAACTCAGTGGCATACAAGTTCGTTCAAATGGTTGATCAAACCATTAGATTCACAAGCTAGAAGTTTTATTTGACAGCCTGTCTAGCTACTAATTTCCTGAGCTTTTCCTGCCCCTTAGTACATTTTTCTTGAAGCAGAAGTATTATTTTGGAATATCTGAGCCTCCCATTTAGGTATGACTAAGCGGTAAACATACTTTTTTTAGTGCATTTTGATTTACGTTTTTACTGATTTATTAATTTATGCTGAGACTGTGGGGGGCGGGGGGGGGGGGGGGGGGGCAGGGCCTGTCGCCAATCGGTCAGAGAAATACGCATTGACGAAATTGAAACGTTTAAAAACTAGTGGCACAATTCATATTAGTAGAGAGCTATCTTATATTTTAATTATTTTTCTTTTTTTGTTATTCCCCCTTTATAACATGAGAGGCATTTCGTTCTTCACTTTTGTATTTATTAGATAATAATTTCTTATATGAGGTGCACTGCCAGCATACATCAAGGTTTTAATGGATGTAATGCGCCTGTCTAAACACATTACCTCTAATTTCTAAACCAGGATCTCCTGACAACAGAAAATTTAAATTTCTTGGGAGCTCAGGGGAGATTTCGGTTTGGTTGTGGATTTATAATCCTCGAATTTCGGGTACATCTACAGGTAGACTTTTGCGGCGTGGTATTTTTTGTTGGAAAGAAATACTTCTGTCAACAAATTTAAGGAGTGATTACAGATTTTCACAATTGTTAGTGCTCCACTAAAGCCTCGGACATAATTCCTTAGGGTTCTGACATCACGCTTCATTAAAACCATTACGCTGATATAAGAACACGCCGATATCCAGCGCTGGCGTACTACAGTATACTGCAATGGCTTCGCCCGCATGCATACGTCCGATTTATAACAATTACGTGAATATTGTAGACCACTTGTATGGTTACGATATAAAACTATAATGTTGATATTACCCCTCGCCATCTAGAGGTGTTTCATAAAACAATTTGCGTATATGGCGATATCAATATTATGATTCCATCATCCAAATGTTTAACAGGACCCTCATAATGCTTCTCAAGAGCTCGTGCTCATGTCACCATGCGGGAGTCATTTTGGCATTCCTGGAGAGCCCTTCAAGAATTAATATAAGGAGGGCGATCATTATAAGGAGTATCACCAACCTAAGCACTTGTCAAAATCGCTGCCGTTGTAGAGGCGATTTCCGCAGAGTCGTGGAAGAAAATCGACACAATTGTCGATGTCAGCGTCACTCGCATCTCTGTTTACGTAAACGGAGCAATCTGAAACAAATAGCGAGAGAGTCGTGAGTTTTTATTTTTTGTTTTTTTTTAGCTGCAAAACACGAAAAGTGTTTCATAGCGCCTGGACAATCCAATGTCAATTTGATGTATAAAAGTTATCCTTAGCACTTTATGAAGATAGCCTATACTCATCGTGCATCAAAGAGGCTACCGCGGGATGGGAACATTTGAGGCTCAACAATAGATAATGAAATGCTTCACTACACTCCCTTTGATCTCCATTAGGCTATGGTATTTATGTGAAAAAATTGGTAATCAGAAATGTAGTCTTTATGTTTATCCTTCATCTCACAAATGACAGCATTGAAGGGAAATGCACAGGCGCATGGATGTAGCTCAGCGAAAGGCCTCACTTGTAAGAGAACTCGTACAAAGTTTCAAAAGCCCCGTTATGGCGTTCGTGCGTTTGTCACAAGTGCACATGTTTATAACATGGAAATAGATTGGCCTATCTGTAAAGTTCATGACGGCCTGGTTGAATGATTACATCAGAAACATTTGGGTGTTAAGCAAAATTGCGTTCTCCACCTTAAATCACGCGTTACTGCGGCGCAGGCGCTGCTCGCTACACAGAAAGCAGGTACCACGCTAGTTTCATTCCCACTCAGCTGTTCACATTCAATAGAGAGATTGACGGACGCTTACGAATGAACCCTGTTAATCGGGCGGCGGCTTGAGACACCAAGTTGCTATACGCCGCCGTAACAACTATACCCCGCGTCAATGTAGCCTGGCAGACGGCGAAAGTTACGGTTCCGGCGAGCCAATCAGTGCATCGGAAGGAGACACGTGGCTGAGCTCTATCTCACTAGTAGCGCGTAACGCTGTCGAAACCATGGGCGGGAGAGAGGGACGCCGGTTTTGTACGAATTTTGAAATGACAGGATAATCTCTGAGGGAGGCAGAAGGGATCGCCTGGGGACACACATAGGGTTAGAGGTTGGTTGCTCCTTCCGCTATTTACCGTTTTATCTACTCCGCAGGTTAGGCACTCGCCACCGGTACCTTTGGTAAGAGCTGTTACGTGCATCGCATCCGTCGTCCTATTGACTCGGAGGGCCGTAGCGTTCGCTCTTTGCCAAGTTATGGAAAAAAAAGCATAGGCTGCTACTACACGAATTCTGAGGGGAGTAGAGGCGACGACCGTTTTAGCTCTGCTAAATTATTGTGGATAATATTGGCGTGTCCGTCGCATACACACTGCACTCACTGACAGCTTTGGTAAAGCAACGCATGGCGAGTTCCTAGCGTCTTATCATCACCCAGCAATTGATGAGATAAGGCATCAGCCGCAAAGGGCGGCGATGAACTAATGGCGAAGCAAAAGGCCTGATTACGATAGACCTCGCACCGCGTTAAAAAAAAACAAAAAACACTGCAATAAAAAAAGCTTTTAATAAAAGGGCTTAGATAGAACACGTACTTCTTTTCGTAATTATGCCACGAAAAAAAAAAATTGCGCGATATTTACGCTGTTTGACGCTATTTAGGTGGAGGTCACGGTGGATTCTAAGCCTTGATCACAAATCAGTTGCTCCGCCCATTACTTCTGGATTGGTTTGGCTGTTCGACCGAACACACTAACAAGCCTGTTATCTCCCCTTCCCGACATGCGGCGCGTCTAGTCTGGTGTCTGACAACGCCTGTTAGTTCTGCAAGGAGACGCGTGGCAGCCTCCTTCATCGTCTGCTCTTTCACCACCGTCAATCGTCTTCCGCCATGCCCGAAGGGCGCGGATATGAACGCTGCCTGCCGGAGTCCGTTTTCGCCTTCGTCCGTCTGCTATTCCGCCCCGTCTAAAAACTCTTACAACGCTCGCAAGACTCGATCATGAAAGCGGCGTTCTAGTGTTTCATCATGCCCGGACGACGGTTCATTACAAGTGTCTGTCGGCGTCTGTCGATGTCCAATAAAAGGCGACCGAGAGGACTAGAAAAAAAAAAAGCGACAAAATAAATATGCAGTCGTTACAGCTTTTATGTTCTTGTTTGTTTGTTTTTGTTTCTTTTTTTTGTCAAAGAGCGTCATAAGCCGAGAGAGCGTCATGGCGCACAATTAAAACGTGACGTAAAATTATTCCAGTTGGCACGCCAGGTGCACTGCAAAACTTGAGAGCTACTTTCCTTTCGAAGTAAAATGACAGGAACATACCTGGACTAACTTGTGGCGAGCCGAATGCACCATTGCCTAAAGCCAAATGGCTAGCAAGTTCTCACCTGTGTAGGTATCTTCTCGGTATTAAACCCAGGGTTGCAATCGAGATGGTTGTAAAATTCACAAAGCAGCGGGGCCGCTTTTATGGAAACCAACATCTTTATTCAGTATCAACACGTCCAAAGAAAGAAATCAAGCCAGATCGATCAAAATAGGTGACGTGGGACGTTAAGCCAATTCCGCTACAGAAACAAGCATGCACGCAGCGCGTCCGAAGGTGCGGACTTGCGACAGCTGTTTGCTGCGAACCATGTCCGTTAATAAGATCGTCCTGTAAAACCTTCTGTAAACTCAAAATGACTCGGACATTCGGCCCGTTCAGCACTCCGCAGATGCCAGCAGCCACGTTAGTTAACGTTTCAAAGCAAAGCGGGAGAAGCGGTCTCCAGTCTCGGAATACATTTGAAAACATTGATTACACTATCTTTAATTATTGCTTCTCAGACATAAAACTATACTCAACTAAAATACTATTAGGTCACGGAGATACGAATTTACCACCAACCTTTCACACGTCAATCATCTCTCCAACCAATGAGAGATGTAAGCACCTTGTAATCAAGGGGCGGTCTTAGGGGGCTGCGACCTCCACGTTCTGAACCTCAATTACGTCTTGTAGCGTAAATATTGCTCGAACGAAATTTATTTTTAGGGGTACTTTTCTCTTAAATATACGTGTCCATTTATAAAGAAATATATTTTCATAACAGTGTCCCTTTAAAGTGTAGAGACAATGAGCGTGTTTTTATTTCCTGAAATCAGATGGTTAAACAAATTTAAAAAAAAAGGGAGAACGTTTCATATTTCTAAGAAGCTATGGGATGCTGCAAACGATTCATTCAACTTCATCTTAGAAACCATCGTGCTTTTTTGTTTTCTGTTTCGTTGTTTTCTTTGTCTTTTTTTGCATTCGTCTTTATTACAGCCCTTATCATTCAACCTGCATTTTCTGTAAATACTAAACTGTTCCAAACCGTTGCAGTCTGGGGTTCGCCGGTCTACATTCAAGCTTTAAAGGTTCCATATGAAGTTGTGCTTCGCTTCAACGGCACCCTTTATATTCTTTAGAAAATGTTAATACTAAAACTTTCTGTGTCTCCTTGTTTTATAAAGATAGTCTGTAACCTTGACATGCTTGTTCATGCTTGAGAGGGTTAAACAAAGATGTTATTTTAAAGACGCATCTTTTTGCGCTAGTGAATTGGGTGCTACACGAGACTCCTTTTGAGAAACGTTGTATTCCCATAGTTTCAAATACTTACAAGAGGTATTCTCATTTCCCCGAAATATGCCGCACTTTCCGGGTACGCTGTATATGAGCGTCATGTTATATGTGGCGTCAGTATCTGCAAAGAGTACACAGATTATGTTGAACGCACAGTCTGCTCTTGGACATAATGCGTGATGAATATTTTATATACTCTTTCACAATTCTCTGCGCGGCCACAATCAACCATTTTCAAGAGGAGTTCTGCGCGAGCACAGTACTCTTCTTGAAAAACGCTTCCTCATGTAGCGATGAAACGTCAAACTACAGTTGACGTTCGCAAGGGCAGTGCATCACCTGTGCTATTGCCGTGGCGAGCCAGAGAAAGTAAATTTTTCACTTAATTTTGGCATTTGGTTCGGGCCGCTTGGCGGATGTTGAGAGTTCGGCGACGCATTGTTTATTTCGACGGTGAAAAAAGCCCTGTAAATCGGGGAAGGGGGGGGGGGGGGGGGGGTCAAGCTGTTATTACAGAGAGGACGCGAAGCGTCATATACTCCAAATAAATTTTCTTTTGTTACGCCGCGACGATGGCGCTTCAAACAAGCTTCCGGTATGGCGTTTGCACAAAAACACCCAAGTGAGGTGGTCATGGCTATGCGTCGTTTTGAGAGAAACAAGCAGGAGCCTGCCTTTTGATCAAAATGCCGCAGAATTGGTTTTTCTATGACGGCTACGAAAGAGCTGGCAGTGTATCTAGATCAGTTTTCAAGTGTTTTCTGCTTGCCCGACCCGTTGGAGAGCCTTGATAGGCGCCGTAAAAAGCAGTGTTGCGGATTTGCCACTCCTGAATTGGAATGATTCAGGCATTCCGCAATTTCGCGAGCCTGGTATGGAATGGGAATGGAATGGCGGCAGCGCGGGGGGAATGCAATGGGAATGGAATTAGACGTCTTTTGCTCGGAATGGAGTGGAATGAAATGGTCTCGGTTCTTAGGCAAGCTGTGTTGATTTTCATTTAGGGGCTACGGGCTGATGGCACAATTTATTTTTTAGGGCATGGTAAGTAGCTCTTGAAAGAGCATCATTGCACTGGAGGTGTTCGATGGCTTGATGTCTCACTGGTGTATGCTCTGTTGAGTATTGAAATGGCGCGCCCTCAGTGAAGCAACCATAACTGAATAGTTGTAGACGGACAATGTGTCTTTCCTGGCGCCGCGAGATGCGACAAAGCGGCTGTTGTAATCATGCGCGATTAGCATGCAGCTGTAACTCAGGATGTCGAACCGAACCGAAAACCGGAGCAAAGCCGATATTCTTAACTGAGCCGGAACACGACTCTAACCGAAATCAAACATTGGATTTTGAACCCGAACCGGAACGGAACCGTAATCTCATCTGGCGGTTACCGATTCATTGGAAACGGTACGGCGTAATAAAATGTGAGCCGCGCCTTCTTGCGGGGGGCGGCGCGAAGTCAATTAAATAGTCGCGAAGGTGGCGTCAGCGGCTTAGTTTTGACTAAACAAAGGGCAGCGACGACGTGGCGGCAGCTCAATAATAATGCGGCCAATAAGTATATTCCAAGTCTATGTACAGCACAAATTGGCGTTGGCAAGTGGGAGTGGAGGCGTACACTTGTATATTTGGTATCAGCTTACGATGAATCGCAAAGGAGGCAACGAGCAATCGGAGCCAATCCATAGCTCGGAGGGCGTCACGTGTTCTTCCGGTTGGGCAGAGCGACGCGGGGCGCGCGAAGTCACGAGACAAGCTTCGAACTACGGATTGGCTTGTGTAGCTCGTAGCGTCCATCGCGGTGCATCATAAGGTGAGAAACGGAGTATGTCTGGCGATGCCGAAAGCATGGTGGCCCAGAGGCTAAATAAATATCTTGTTAGTGTGTGCGCGCCCGCATGTCAGTGTGTGTGTTCTTTCTTGGCTACTAAGCAATATTCCTGAAGGAAGAAAGAAGCAAACATAAACGTGAAAATAAACACAGAAAGTTGACGGCTGTTGGCGATTTTGTTCCGCGGTGGCTAAATCTGTAGGCGCGACAATGCGAAGCCGCGACGAGCGCGACACTGCGGTGCCGGTCGCCAAGACGCCAGTCGCACAGAGCCCTGGACGCTGTTTGAAGTAATTGTGTGTGTGCGTGCGTGTGTGTGTGCGCGCGTGTGTGCGTGCGTGCGCGCGTGCGTGTGTGTGTATGTATGTGTGCGTGCGCGTGTGTGCGTGTGTGTGTGTGTGTGTTTTTTAGAAACAGCGAGTCGCCCGTTGTATTTTGTGTCCGTTTTTGTTTTAATAGTTTTTTAATGGGCCTTCGTTGTATTTCTCCTCTTCAACTCAGTCGTTCGAGCAAATCATTCGGGCGTGCAGTGTGGGTAGTTTGCCGTTTCGAACCGGATGAGCATCGTACCGATGTGCGGTCGTGTATCAGTACTGCGTGATATCGGTTAAAGACTCCACACTAGCAGTCGTACTAAACTGGATAAATTTCTCATCTACACCGGGTTGCAATGCTACCATACTTTTGCAGACTACACTCCTGCTGTTTAAACAAGTAAGGACTACTTCGATTGTTTTGTGGGCAGTTTGCGAGTACGGTGCGTGTTACCGCCACGCTGTCACAGTGCGTCCTGGATGATTGAGTTCACATGTGAGTAGTTTAATAAAGCTTGGACTTCGGTTTGGGCTAGTTGGTTGTACATTGATAGATATGCTGCGCTGCGAAGTTCTACAGAGCAAACGCGTGACCAAAAATCGAAAGGAAAAGGATGAATTTACATTGAGATGAGGAGTTGTTAGTCTGCGCCCATTCGTGTTCGTTGTGTTTCTCCTCATCTGAATGTGAACTCATCCTTTTCCCTTCAATTTTTGGTCACGCGTTTGTTCTGTGGAACTTCGCAGCGCAGCACGTCTATCAATGAGTAGTTTACCTTGTTATTGTTTTCAAGTGCCTGTATCACTCAGTTTTCATTGAAGGGTGTTCGAGTTAATACTTCAAGATCACAAAATAAAATTAAGCATGTATTTGTTTTGCTGTCCTTGTTTCCGCAGCACGGGTTCTGATGACCTAATTTTTCAATACAGATTACACTAAGTAATCCTTTCGTCTTCTTAATGACTGGGAGTTTTCGGCCTTTTGTTTCAAAAGGTTTAAACTGGTTTGCGCTTGATGAAACCGGTAACCAAACAGTTATTTCAAACAAATCACTAAACCAGAACCGAACCGAAACAGAACTCAATGCTACTAAACCCGAACCGGAATAATATTCAGTCCGACTCCCCGCTTTTAACCCATGTTTACGTTTACGTTTTAAGGCAGGTTTACATAATATACTGCTACACTCCCTTGTGCTGGCCCCGTATACCGATTGCACTTTGAAAAGCGGTTTTCTGTTCTTGCCGCAGTGCACGTGGAGATTTGGGACAGGTGTACGCGGCGTCGCATCTAACAGCGCACTAGCGGAGCTGTTGTGCAAGTATTCCTAACAGAAAGCAAGGTAGCTTCTTCTTGCGCCACACACGAACTAGGCATTTTTAAGGTTTTATCAAACAAACAACACGCTAACCATGTATCTGTTATGATTATAAGGTCCGTTTGTGAAGAAAATGGTTGGTTTTATTTGTTGGCTTCTGTTGCGACTCGCAAGCCTTCTACGCTTGTTAGCGCTATCGATGTCTGCAGTGACACGAAGTGCCACGAAGTGATTTGTGCGACCACCCTTCGGCGTAGTCAAATGAATGATTGGAGGAAGCTTTTTCATACTTTTCAGTCGTCTCCGCGTTTGATAACGTCAGCAGCTTTATGCAGATTTTTTCCAGCAACACAGTGTGGCTGTTAATTGCCATTTTTTCACGTTCAGGAATTAAAGGAACGGAGGTGGAGTTCAACCATTCCTGGAGTGGGAAGGGGCCTAATGTTTTTATTCCGAGGAGTTGAATAAAATGGAATTGTTGGAAGCTCTAATTCCCCATAATGGAATTGTGTGGAATTAAGGGGTGCATATTCCGCAAGACTGGTAAAAATGAAAAGCACCGTCGGAATTTCCTGCGCTCGAAGCACTTTGGAACGAGTGAATTCACGGAGACTTCCTGTCCTAAGATGCTTTTGTATTGTTGGAACATGGACGTGGGAGCACCATCAAACTCCTGCGTTGCGTGCGGGTTTACAACGAAAGCACTAGTATTTGTCACGGATTACAACACAAGGCCTCCACCACATCAGGTCATTATATATAGCCACCTTAGACTGTGTGGGATCCGACATGTCTATCACGGTTTTCCACCTAGCACACCGGTTCTTGGCCAATCAAAAAGTAACGGAACGTTTTTTTCTTTTTTTAATTTTTTTTTATTTATAGTTGCCATTGTTGACTCTCTATAACAGCGCTTTGACGAAAACATTGTGGAGGCGTAGTACGTGAGTCTCTCTCCTAGCAACATAGCTCTGTAGCTCAATTTCTGGTCGGACGATGCTCTGAGAACGCAACATAAGACTTCCGAATGCGACTTAAAAGGCTTACTCTCTTTATCTGATGATTCATAAGTTAGACTTATTTTAGAAAGTCGGAATTACACATAGGATGGCATAATATTATCATGGTGTTAATGAGACTTTAACCATTGTTTATGTACATTTACAAAATTGAAATATAACAGGACTAAACTCTTAACCGGCGATCCTTTTGTTTTTATGTACAATATTTGCTTTAGGAAAATTATGCGATATTAAACTTGAATCATCACGACAAAGCAATTCCGTATCTAAGAAAGGTTCTAAATTCTTTTGGTGTTTTGTTTCGAAGCAGCCCAATAGAGTGCGCAAGAAAGTACAGCAGAATTTCGCAGCGCCACATCTTGAACTTCTCGACACTGACACAGGTCACAAAATGAATAAATTTGTTCGTATTAATAGAAATTTAACTTACTGTTTCCTTCGAACACCAATACTTGGTCCGGTTGAGACTGCACTTCAATGGTTTGGTTCTTTGTTTCTCTGCATATTCAAACAAAAAATGAATAATAAAACAATTAGTGTTTTTTACCGTCGTGTAAGGTCAATGAATTAGTAAGGCAAAGAGTCAATAGGTCAGTAAATTCTTCAAACAGGACTAAGAAAAAAAACACGCACCTTTGAAGGATAAAGAGAAACATACTTCCTATAAACATTCATAGTCAACCCTTCATGCTCAAACAGGAGATTAAGAAAGCCAGTAGTTGAAAACCGAACCCAACATGGAATCTACAAATGTAACATTGTTGTATGCAAGTGCCTATTGAAGTTAAGATCGAGTTATTAAGATCTTAGTAATTTCAAGTATGACCCCAATGACAAACATTGTTTCACAATTGTTTTTTAATCTTGAAACTTGCTTCTTGTAGTAAGCAGTTTTCTAAATGTTTATTAAGTCAGGCAAATGTAACCCGTAATGCCATGAGCGCTTTAGAGCAGAATAACACGTCGTTTTAAAAATTGAGATTCCTTATAGCGTGGACATTGGTTTGAAAATTTACTTTTTCACACTTACAGTCAAAACGCAAGGTGCAGACACATAGTGGAAGCCCCTGCTGATCAGGATGGAAATTTGTCTTTTTTTTTAAATTAAGTAGATCAGATTGTTTTTTTTTTGTTGAATTCAGATGTATTCGATTTAAATCAGTTTAATTTGATTGAAATCACTGTAGATAGGAAATGGTCACTCTTTATCTTTACACGTATTTCGAAACATGGCACATTGATTGATCAATCCGTCCGATTACTGATAAGAATGCGAAATAAATAATTACTGTAAATATAAGGTACAGTTTAACCAATAACTTTTTATAGTTAACCCCGCCATACTAAAAAAATCTGGTTGATTTTTTATTTATCTAAAAGCTTCCTTTGTTTTTTTTTTCATTTTCCAATTTTCCTTAAACTAAACCATTAATTTTTTTGTTTCTTTTTTTCGCGTTCTGATTTGATTGCAATATAGCTTTACTAGGCTGACGAACAAACTGGAAGAAAGAAAGCTCAGTGCTCCGATTTTCTTAAAAGAGAACTGCTGTCTACTCGTGTTCAACCCGATTGAAATATTTCTCGCTGGATGATTCTTCGTTATTCACACAAAACAAATGCACATATAAAACGCATCAATAATAAGTAAACATTAAATAATAATTATATTTGGGATTACCGCACTTTTGCGAGAAAGATTTGATTAAAATCATCATAGTAAAACTGGCCTGACATAAACCACAATTTATATCACGATTTAAATCGTCTTGATCTTTATTCAACTTTCTTCTGATGAAATCTTCTTTGATTGGACATTATTTTTTCAAGCAATTTTTGTAACTCTAGTTTGGGGCTACCTTTTGCTGACACAATTAAACGCCCAATGGAGCTCGGCAACAAAGAAGAACACACTGAAGAACAGATTGTAGGAAGAAATGTGCTATCAGAACGTTTAGTTGGTAATGATTTGCAATTTTCACGTTGCGAAAAAAAATTTACATATTAATAAATATTTTAGTTAAGAGGTTCAACGTTGAGGCTGTTTTAAATGAATAAGTGCAGCTGTTTCCATGTAAACGATAGTGTCAGGAAGTCGGCTGCAACCAACTAGACCGAAACGAAATTTAACGAAATAGTGAAAATCTCATTTATTGTGCAGAACACCGGCGAATTTTAACTCTCCAATACCCTCGGTAGTTTGAGCCTCCCGCAATCAACATTCGTCAAAGCGCTTCGTCACTTCATGCACCATCTGATAAAGTGGGGTATCGAAGTATTCCAGAATGCGTAAGTGACAAATAGAACCGGATATATGCGAAAACAAATATCATTAATTTAGACGGAAGATCTATGCAACGCACAGAACATTGAGAAGTACTTACGCTTGCTTTCTGCCAACTTTTCTGAAAGTTACGTTGTACGTGGCTACTTTCAAGTCGTTTTGCATCTCAATTTGCGAAAACGCTGTACACGTTAGACCGATATCTTGTGATGTGAACTTGATATAGCCCTCCTTAAAGCTGTTGAAGAACTGAAAAAGAGAAACAACATGATATATATATATATATAGAGAGAGAGAGAGGGAGAGAGAGAGAGATATATATAAATCCTTCAAGTTCAATCTTTTTTTCTTAAATGATTGGTACGCTAAATTTATGCAATTACCTTCGAAGCGTCGAAACCATCGAGAGCTGAGCAGTCAGTGGAAATGACCGGAGAGACGCAAAATATTAGAAGAAAAACTTTCGTTGTAATACCACGAGACATCATGTTGAACGAAAGAGTGGTCCTGTCAAGGAGCTGCAACTTAAAGGTACCACGCTAAGACAGACTCGCTGTATAGAAGCGCCCTTCAGGACCGCGGAGAGAATTGCTACCTCTACCTCTGGTATAGGAAACGTGGATGGAAATTGCGCTTTTTTTTTTTGTCCCACATGTGTTAAAGATTGCGGTTCAGCGAGGAAAGTGTACGGTTTGCAATAAAACGAGCCTAGCAACAACAGCGTAGCGGTCGTAACCAATGAGACAAAAATAAGGAAAAAGTAAAATCCAGGTCCTCCTCCGGAAATGAACATTTAAAAACAACGAAATTCCCCTCATGTAAAGTAATAAAAAATAGAAAATTGCAGGGTTTTGGCGCATTTTTTGTGCGTAATTGGTTCAGTCAGTGATGGCCAACCGAAAAAAAGACAATAAACCAGTGTGTCGAACCGAAAAGAATATGGGTTCGGTTACGGGTCAGGTTCAGGTAAATTTATTTTGTTCCGGTTCAGTTCCGGTTCGATTAATTGGATCCGCGAACCGGTTCGCGAACCGGTTCGGTGCGCTGAAGCGGTTCGCGAACCGGTTCGGGAATTATAAATGCCAAATTGCAACATCAAAATAAATTACAAATAAAACATCTGAAATCAGCACGTACGAAACGGGATACATCGCAGTGTAAGGCTCAGGGATTTCTACCAGGAATGGTTTCTTTATGTGCACTCAAAGGTTACCTCACCGACGTTTACGCATTCGGACTTCATCTAATTGGATCCGACGCAGTAGCTGTAAAATCTGCGACCTCCTTACAAACCCACTTACAAGTAGAACTCGCTAACTATCCCGCCACCTCGGCGTGTAAGCAATTGAAGGAACAGTGGGGAGAGAAAACAGCTTTCTTTATTTGAACTAGCCTTCGGTAACTCAGATTAGACCCTTAAAGAAGTTTTCATTAAACAAGATACGGAATATGAAGAACACTTCACCGAGCGCAACGCCAGAAGGACGTAATAGGATAAATATTAAAATAGAAGAGTTCGCTGTCTCACAAATATGTTAGCTTCTAAGTGCCTATGCGAAACCAGATGCATTATTATCAAACTCCACAGCCTTTTCTTTTCTCATTCCGATGGAAGCAAGCTTCAAGAACTCGCGCGTTCTAGAACGTGTTATGAAATGAGCACACAGCAGCATTTAGGATTTACGAGATTGTAAAAAAATCAAATCCCGTGACGCGATTTTTTTTTTTTTTTTTACAGCTTTTCAATTTTTTTTTTCGTGCAAGCCGCGACCAGCGCACTACTGGTTCCTATGTCAAGATTCATGGATGCAGCGTTTGTCAAGATTCATGGATGCAGCGTTTATATTCCTAAGACTGAGTGGAGAAGAAAAATATGTAAGCGAGGTATGTGTCAGTTGACGGCACTTAAAGGAGCCGGCACTTAAAGGATTTTAACGTTGAAAGAATAGGCATCTTCTGCTTTTGATATTGTTCGCTGTGTCACAAATGGCAGAAAACACACCTCTTTTCATCGAAATGTTGCGATTCCGCCGCGTATTAGCCAGGCTAACCTTGAAATATTTCCCGACCTGCAGCCACGAGCGGCGGCCATGAGAAACAAGCGGCGTGACGTCTCTTGGGTAGTTGTAAAAAAAGATAGCAAGTTTTGCGGATACCTGCTCGATAAAAGGTAACTTTTCTATAAATCTTGTCGTTCCAACATATATATAAATGCGTCAAAACCCTAGTATCACCGACCAAACTTTGTTATACGGAGATTTAGTGGCGCCATCTACCCTAAATCGACAAAACCGCGAATAGCCGCCAGAAGCCGGAGGGAGAGGGGGACAGCGCCGGACGGGCAAGGACGAGTATGGCCGGACCCGGATGAGACTTTCCTCCTTTCACCGTATATTTCGCGGGCGCCCGCCAGCACGTGGTCACGCGGTCGCGAGCGGATGAGTTCTCGCTGCTCGCTGATGGCTCTAAAGAGAGAACTTTTCCGGAACCCCGCGCCTGCTCAAGTGACGTCACTGCGCACGTGACCCCGAAGACGATGTACGAGTTGAGAGGTGGCAAAAACCTGGATCTTTTTCATTTTTTTTTTAAATAAAAACTATGGTATCCAGGCAAATCCTTTTTTCTGTATTTCACTGCAGACGTGTCAGGCATCAACTTCCACTATTATTTAAGCAAAGCCCTGAAATTGTTGCACAGCTCCTTTAAAAAACAAATGGCATTAATAGGACATTCATTGTCAACAGCGCGTGGCCGAACCGTTTTGACATGAGCCGGTAACCGTTATTTTTTTTTCGGTTCAGTTCCGGTTCGGGTTCATCGCGATGACAATATAACGGTTCGGGTTCGGGTTCAGTTCCGGAAAAAATACCGGTTTGGTTCCGGTTTTCGGTTCGGTTCGGTTCCGGTTCGACACCCTGCAATTAACGCTAGGACGATGGAACTTTGGCAATGCTTGATTGGCTAGATCCGATCAGCGTCAGCTGCGGTCGGACTTAGTGAAACGGAATATAGTTGTAGACGTGCCCTCTTGTAACGAGTGACGTAGCTTGCCTTACCTAAAGTACCTTGATACTTATTTTACAAGTAACGACAACGAAAACAAAAGACAAAGCACAATCCGCTGGAACAAAATGGCGGCATTCAGTTCAAACCTCTGCTGTGCGCCACCATTCGCTTCGTAAAACCGGCACCGTCACGCAGTCGGCGCTTCAAAGATTGTCGCTACTTGCAAGAAGATCTTATCTAGGGACTTTACCCTTACCTATAGCCACGAGACCTACACGCCCTCCTTGACTCTTCTCAGTTACTTTCGATCATCACCCGATCGCAACTTTCATTCGTGTTCGATGTTGAGGAGCGTTACAATGCTTTAACCTCATGCTTCGTGGCACGCATATTTATATCCGCCATCGCACTGAACTGCCCTGCGTTGACGTTAGTTTCCTGTGCCCAGTTTTGATGCGGGAGGCTAACCTGGCGAGGTTTGCCTCTCGCATGCCTCCCGCGCATATATGCGGAATAAACGGGAATGTTTCGATGCGTCTCATGGCGTGTGCGACGCATTCGAAACATCGCATGTCTATTTTAATGCGATAGCATTAACTGTCTCATACAGCGAACTGCGTTATCAGCTCTTGAAGCCGAGCCAAACGGCACCTAAATTCCCCTTTCCGATGAAGCGAAGCCTGCCGTCTGTAGCAGCGAAGTGATGGATAAATTCCCATTGGCTGGCGCGCGACGTAGTTCCAAGGAACACCACCTCACAGAGAGCACTCTCAATGGCGCTGCGACCCCCGCGCCGGTAAAAGGAAGAGGGTTGCGCATGGCTCGCCAAGGGCCCCGTCGGGGTGGGGGAGGGAATTCCTGCTCCCTCTCCCTGTCCACTACTGTTTGTTGTTAACCGTACATTTGATGCTTCGGCACTTTTCGTTAATTGCTTGGCGGCATTACATCAATGTGGTTTTCGTGAACAACGCCATCTATCGTGCCAGAAAAACAACATAGCACGCATACTTTCACAAATCGTTCTGAATCGCACCAGAGGCTCCGAGCGCAAAGAACCGAGCGAACAATTGGTGCCTGTCCCAAAGATGTTACCTTTATTTATTTTTCATGACATCTACCAGGTGTTTAATGTGGTACTTCGCTCAGTTCCGAAAATTTCGGGATAATAGGTGATTTCACATTAAAAAACCGAAGATAAAAGTTACACCATCATTCCCTTTACGAAAAACGGGATATATATTGTTAAGTCCTGCATTAAACGTGAGTACAATTCGAAGCCGAAACTTCGGCTCCGTCTGGAAACATCGGCTTCGGGTCTCCCATAAAGATTGCTTTCACGTGGTATGAGATGTCACGTAATCCTCTACGCAACGACGGTTGGGATTGGGGCGGGACAGCGGGTCACCGTTTAGGTCGGGCGTGTGCCAGGCGCGAGTGTCTTCTGCACCGCACTCTTCACCACGTTCTGGTGTCTACGACATTCGACGACGTCCACGCAATTGCGGCATCCGTCTGCGCAAGTATTGTAAACAAAAGTTCGATAGACAATCGGGAGCTTTCGCAGACCGCGTTTTTCGCTCCGCTAAGCCCTCTTTGAACGAAAAAGCCGCTGCTGCGCCTGCGCGCCGATGGCTCCGACTGTAGTTCAGGGTATCGTAGCGGGCTGCGGAGAGCGTTGCGAGACGGCGAAAACGATCTACGAAAATGCCCCGATGTTCACAAACGCTGAAACGACGACGGCGGTTGGGACGCGGGAGACGGCGGTAATGAATTGATATGCAGTTACTTGAGCTCTCGTTCACAATAACGGCGTTAAGTCTGATATTCAACAGATCGCATTTGGAGTCCCACAAGGATCCATTCTAGGACCATTATTGTTTCTTGTTTATATTAATGATATTGTACATATCTCGCATTTTGCGGACATGGTATTATTTGCAGACGACTCCAATGTTTTCTTCTCCCACAATGACCTCAGACATCTCGATTGGTTAAACAAACCAGTCATTTGCCACGTGGCTAGTCACAAACGAGATTTAATTGAATATTTCTAAAACTAAAAATATATTATTTTAAGAACAAAAAACAAGGCACTTAATTATGATATCGATATACACTTTAATTCAAACAAATTAGAGAAGCTTGAATCCATGAAGTACCCGGGTGTATAGTTTCACGAGAATTTCCACAGGGCAATTCATATATCTAAACTATGTTTGACTCTCTCACGACCAATCGGCATATTACATAACCAACATGGCTTAACAATATATCCCAGCTCCCAAGTCCTATGCAATTCCAATGGCAAATTTTGATATTTTTTTCTCAGCAGCAACCACCGAACGGATTGAATTGGGAATGGTTTTATTAGAAAGATGATAAAACACTAAGTAATATTGTCGCGCTCCATTTCCCGATATAAGTGTTAAAATTGTTTTACGGGAACTTAAGCTTGCTTGTAAAGGCCTTTTTTTTCGTTCCG